CCCAGCTCCAACTCGGCCCGGTGTTTGAGACTCTGCCCTCTCGCCAGGATCACGAAGCCCCCTCCGGTCAGTGGCTCCGCTTGTGGTGAAAGTGCCTGGGCCCGTCCCCGACTACTGGCCCCGTGCTGCCTGCTGTCGGCCCCTGAGGTCAGTGAGGAGCCCAGAGCAGACTCAGATGTCATCGGCTCACGCGATGCGGCTCAGGGCCTGTCCCCCAGAAGTACCTGAGACCCAACAGGGGACTCACATTACTTGGGAAATGTGAGCGTAGGTCAGCGGAGCCAAGCCGCCGTCCCGGGGAGGTCCAGCCCAAGCCTGGGTGTGCGGGAGCTCCCACGCTGCTTCTAACGGGCCGACCCCGAACCCCCGCCGGCCGGGGAAAGCCAAGACCCCCTCCTGTCCATCTTCAGGGGCACCTTCCCGACACTCCAGGCAAAGACGCCTCTGGGTTCAGGTGGCTTGAGATGGAAGCCGGCAGGGAGATCTTTCCCCTCACCTGGGTGGTCTTCTGGTGTTGGCACCTCGGAGGCCCGTGTCCCGAGATGGCAAAGGCCTGCCCTGGAGTCAGGGAGCGCTCTAGGCAACCCCGCTGCGGATGGGGTCCTGCCAGGGAATAATCAAGTCCCCGTGCCCCCTGGGCCTTTCTGTGGGGAGACCATGTGCAAATCCAGACCCGGACCTTTATCTGAGGCTTCATATCTCAGCATCTCGTGATACCCTGACCCGCTAGACTCGTCAGCGCTCCGTTCCTACTGGTGGAGCCCCTGAGCAGAGGAGGACGTCCACTTCCGAGGGGGGGCCCAGCCAGAACCCCCGCCGTCTGGGGGGACAGGGGACCGTACGGGGTGGCTCTGCCCTAGTCCCCCATGAGCTACAGTCCTTCCTGCCGTGAGCAGAGCTGCACTGTTTTGCAGTGATGTGGATGTTCTTGCAAACCCGAGACCCTTACGTGGGATTCCCCGAGGCCGGGGCGATTCTGTGGTGCTTTGCTGGGGCGGACCTTCTCAGCTCTGGTCGGCCTGCCGCGGGGCCCTTAGAGGAGGCGAGTAGAAGACATCGCTGTCTCTCCATTAATTTCCATAGGTCGCTCAATCAGTTATTGAATTAATTTCAAATAAGTCTCTCGAGGTCAACCAAGAGGCCTACTCGGGCATCAGAACAAAGCCACTAAAAGGGCACCTTCATTCTTTACTCCCCGACGGCCCAAGGGCACCCTGGTGTCACCCCTGTCGTTTGCCTTGGTGCCCTTCTCCCCAGGGGTGAACGCAGTCCTCCTGCAGGTTCGGGCACGCGCGGCCAGATTCGTCTCTTGTGGTTTATCGCTGAGCGGAGAGAGCTGGGGGGACATGCCCTGCAGGCAGTCGGATCCCCAAGAGAAGGGGGCAGAAGGCCCCACACACCCGCGCCCAGACCCTTCTCCGAATGCACCACGCGGCCAGTCACTGTGGCTGACGCTCGCTGGGGGAGCCCCTCTAAACGAGAACGGGGGCGCAGGAAACGTATCAGTGTTTTGAACGTAAAGCCTCTCTGTCTAACCTGATGGAGATTTGCCTAATGTCTGTGGCAGTTCAGAACCCATTTACTCATAAAACTTACCAAGATTCATCTTTAAAAAAATACTTCTGCCATCTCCATGTTGGTGGCTTTGTGTGGAAGCCCGTGGTGTGTGGGAAGATGGACGATGGCTATGAGGGAGGGGGGGTCCTGGGAGCTGGAGAAGAGTCCATATCAAGCATTTACAGAAGGGCCAGCCCCACGTAAGGACCCCGAATCCATGCACACACAGCATAGGTGCTGATCTCAGGAGTTAGCCTTCTGTGGAGCCCGGCTGAATGACCGTGTGCGGTCGTCTGCTCTGGGAACGTGAACCACCATGGACGGGGCTCCCACAGCAGATGCTCCCTGTCCCCCGGGCCCGGAGGCCGAAGCCCGGGATGCAGGCACGGGCAGGGCGGGGTCCTCCCGACGCCTCTCTCCTCGTGTGTGGATGGCTGTGCTCAGGTCCTCACGGGGTTGTCCCTCTGAGCGCACACACCCCTGGTGTCCCTTTGTCTTCTCAGAAGGACACTAGTCAGATTGAATTAGAACCCCACTCTTTGACCTCATTTCCCCTTCATACTTCTTTAAAGGTCTTTTTAAAATATATATATTTTATTTTATTTAAAGTCAATTAACATATAGTGTATTATTAGTTTCAGAGGTAGAGTTCAGTGACTCATCACTTGCATGTAACACCCAGTGCTCATGACATCACGTGCCCTCCTTAATGCCCATCACCCTGTTACCCCAGCCCCTCAGCCGCCTCCCCTCCAGCAACCCTCTGTTTCCTAGAGTTAAGAGTCTCTTATGGTTTGTCTCCCTCTCTGATTTTGTTTTATCTTGCCATCCCTTCCCCTACGATTCTCTGCCTTGTTTCTTAAATTCCACATATCAGTGAGATCATATGATAATTGTCTTTCTCTGATTGACTTATTTCACTTAGCATACTATCCTCTAGTTCCATCCATGTCCTTGCAAATGGTAAGATTTCATTATTCTGATGGCTGACTCATATTCCGTTGTATATATGAACCACATCTTCTTTATCCATCATCTGTCGATGGACATCTGGGCTCTTTCCATAGTTTGGTGATTGTGGACACTGCTGCTATAAACATTGGGATGCTGGTGCCCCTTCAGATCACTAGGTTTATATCTTTGCGGTAAATACCTAGTCGTGCAATTCCTCGGTCATAGGGTAGCTCTATTTTCAAATCCTGAGGAATCATTTTCCAGAATGGCTGCACCAGCTTGCATTCCCAAAAACAGTGTAGGAGGGTTCCCCTTTTCTGCATCCTGGCCAACATCTGTTGCTTCCTGACTTGTTCATTTTAGCCACTCTGACCAGTGTCAGGTGGTATTCATTGACGTTTTGATTTGTATTTCCCTGAGGTGGAGTGTGTTGAGCACTTTTTCATGTGTCTGTTGGCCATTACGATGTCTTCTTTGGAGAGATGCCTGTTCATGCCTTCTGCCCATTTCTTGACTGGAGTTTTTGGGAGGGCAGTTGAGTTTAATAAGTTTTTTATAGAGTTTGGATCCTAGCCCTTTATCTTATAAGACATTTGCAAATATCTTCCCCCATTCAGGAGGTTGTCTTTGGCTTTGTCGACCATTTCCTTTGCTGTGCAAAAGCTTTTTATCTTGATGAAGTCCCAATAGTTCATTTTTGCCTTTGTTTCCCTTGTCTTTGGAGATGTGTCTAGAAAGGAATTGCTGTGGCTGAGGTCAAAGAGGTTGCTGCCTGTGTTCTCCTCTAGGATTTTGATGGATTCTTGTCTCACATTAATGGTCTTTCATCCATTTGGAGTCTATTTTTGTGTGTGGTGTAAGGAAATGGTCCAGTGTCATTCTTCAGCATGTGACTGTCCAATTTTCCCAACACCACCATTGTTAAAGAGACCATCTTTTTTCCATTGGATATTCTTTCCTGTTCTGTTGAAGATTAGTTGACCCTAGAGTTGAGGGTCCATTTCTGGATTCTCTATTCTGTTCCATTGATCTATGTGTCTGTCTTTCTACCAGTACCATACTGTCTTGTTGATTACAGCTTTGTAATAGAGCTTGAGTCTGGGATTGGGATTGGGATGCCACCGGCTTTGCTGTTGTCAACATTCCTCTGGCTATTCGGGGTCTTTTCTGGTTCCGTACAAATTTTAGGATTATTTGATCCATTTCTGTGAAAAAAGGTGATGGTATTTTGATAGGGGTTGCATTTTATGTGTAGACTGCTCTGGGTGGCATAGGCATTTTCACAATATTTGTTCTTCCAATCCATGAGCATGGAATGTTTTTCCATTTCTTTGTGTCTCCCTCAATTTCTTTCATGAGTGTTCTGTAGTTTTCAGAGTCCAGATCCTTTATATCTTTGGTTAGGTTTATTCCTAGGTATCTTAGGGTTTCTGGTGTGATTGTAAATGGGATCGACTCCTTAATTTCTCTTTCTACTGTCTCATGGTTGATGTACAGTGATGCAACTGATTTCTGTGCATTGATTTTGTATCCTGCCACTTGGCTGAATCCCTGGATGAGTCCTAGCAATTTTGGGTTGGAGTCTGTGGAGTTTTCCCACATAGAATATCACATCATCTGCGAAGAATGAGAGTTTGACTTCTTTGCCGATTCAGATGACTTGTATTTTTTTTGTTGTCTGATCGCTGAGACTAAGACTTCCAGTAATATGTGGAACTGCAGTGGTGAGAGTGGACATCCCTGCCACGTTCCTGACCTCCCATCCAGGCGCCCTGCCAGCCCCTACCGTGCACGGCGTGCCTCTCCGTGGTCATCAGCTGAGCCAGCGCCCAGAATGCATCCTCCTCGGACAGGAACATCAACAGGACCCCCACAATCTGGCTCATGCCCTGGCAGTAGCCCACCTCCTGCAAGAGCCAACCCCAATGGAACGTGGCCACCTCAACGTGGTGGAGGTCAGGGTAATGGGAACCTCCCTCCCTGCTCAGGTTCTGATTCCCAGTTCGGTCCCTTCAGGATCGATCCCCGAGTTTTAGGGCAACAGCGGTGCTCGCTAGACTACCTGGCAGCCCCAGGGCTCCGGGACTCAGGGGCCGTTCCTCAACCCGGTGAGGTCTGCACCCCAGCCCTGGCCTCAGTCCTAGAGTCGAGAGCCCCTCCCTCGTGCCCCTGAGACAATGGGAGCTGGAGTCCTGACTGTGTCCTGGTTGTTCAGGAATCCTCAGGACGAAGGGCACGCGCGGGGCAGCAGGCCTGGCGGCGGGGAGACCCACGGGGTTGTAGATGGAATACGCCGAGAGCACATGGGACAGGGCTTGCTGCGTAGGAAAGGGAGAGCAGGGTGGGTTGCTCCTGTCTGAGCAACCCGCACAGTGAGGCCGGCCAGGTGCAGAACGCAGCCCCACGGACCTGGGTCTTCAGCGCAGCTCGGTGGCTGACGTGTCTACGGGGTCTGGTCTCCACACAATGACCGGCAGCTAGCTCAGACATACCGTGGGATGGAGTTTATTTTCATTCTGCTGTTTGCCGTTTGCCTCCATGAAAACGCCCACTGTGGGATGGGCAGCTCCTGGGTTTTTGCTGAGCCCCCAGCTCACCCCTCCAGCCCTGGGGCCGCCGCCCCACCCTGAACGGCCCCTTGGTGGCCAGGCGCTCCCCCTGCACCGCTCACCGCAGCCCCCGAGGCCTCTCCTGCCCGTGGTCTGGCCTGTTCCTGGTGCCGTGAGCACAACCACACGATCTGGCTTCCTTCCCCGAGCCAAGTGCAGCCCAGGTGCTTCCATGGCATCGAGCGCGTCCGTAGCGTGGTCCTGTGTGTCCCTGATGTAGTCCCCGTTTTGGATTGCCAGTGTCTGTTCACCTAAGAGCAGCTTGGGTGCTTCCAGGTTGAGTCGTCGTGCATAAAGCACAGAACCTTCACACAGGTTTTACTTGGATAAAAGATTTCGAACCAGTTGGGTTGATAACTGTGAGCACTTTGGGGCATATGGTGAGGCTCTGTTCAGCTTTATAAGAAGCCGCCAGCCTGCCTTCCAGCGTGGCTACATGACACTGCACCCCAGCTCCCCCTGCCCCCAGCCTTCGTGACAGGGGCGTGTGGCGGGCGCTGGTGTCCCGCGGTGGTACAAAGGCTCAGCTCTGTCCCCGCACACACCCTGGATGAATGCACATTGCCTGTGTGTGTGTGTGTGTGTGTGTGTGTGTGTGTGCGCGCGTGCGCATCTTCTTTGCTCAAGTGTCTGTTCAGGTCTTGTGTCCACTGTGTGCCGGGTCATGTGTTCGATCACAGAGCTGCTTGTTCTCGGTCTGCAAGGGCCCCGCAGTAGATGCGCCATTCCAAATATCTCTCCCGCTCTGTAGCTTTCCTCCCTGCTCTCTGAATGCTGTCTTTGCAGAGGGCACGTTTGTGATTGAGATAAACTCCAGCTTGTCCACGATTCCTCTCTTGCCCTTTTCTCTCCGCTGCAAGCCTCCCCCTCCATGTCCACGGCCTGACCCTCCTCTGGCTTCTGGTTTTCCAATGCCCGGAATGCGTTACCACCACCCTGTAACGCGGTAAGGGTTGAACCTGGAACCCCACATGGGAATGTCGCTGCGCCCGAGTGCACAGAAGGAACAGGCTGCTTTCGAGGTCGGGGGCAGATCGGCTGAAGTAGAGAATATTTACCGAGAGGCCATTATAGAAACCTCACGATCCTGTGCCCAGGTGTGTCGCCGGGCAGGGCCCGCCCTCACATTGGGGCCCTTCTGTGTGAGGCACGCAGCGCAGTGGTCGCAGGGGTGTCAGGAGCCATGAGCAACAAGGGGGTTAATCAGGTAGAGCAAAGGCTCCCTGATCCCTTTGAACCATGGCCACCTGACTGCCCCCATACAAAAACATGTTGTACTGGCTAGCCTGAGTTGTTTATAGGCCAAGAAAACCACAGTGTTATTGATAGACCCTGAAAGATAGCGCACCTGGCCCTTTAAAGGCATACCGCGTAAACAAAACAGGGAAGAAATTATGCGCTTGAGGAATCTGGCCTTGAACCAGAAACTCTGGACGGAGCCAGGAGAAGGGCAGGGAGGAACCTGTGGAACTTGTTTATGTCCTATTGTTATATAACCTAAGCCTATATAAAGTGTGTGAGAAAGAATAAAGTTGTTGCTCGCGGCACCCCCGTGGGCAACCCTCCTGTTCCCATACTTTTATGTTTCATTCTCTTGCCCTCACCCCTGTTCGACCTTGCACGCGGGCCGTGGCAAGTGGCGCCCGAACAGGGACCTGAGCACATGAAAGAGGATCCTGGACACTGACGTTGCAAACATTCAGGTAAGAGAACCGGTCCTTTAACCGGCACGACAGGAGTAAGAAATTATGGGACAAAGTCAGTCCGCTAGTCATGCATATTTTCTGCGGACCCTGCAGGTTTTATTGGCAGAGAGGGGACATAAGGTGTCTTCCTCCACACTGCAGGAATTTTTCAGGAACATAGAAGATTTGTGCCCTTGGTTCCCACTAGAAGGGACAGCAAACCCAGAGGATTGGAAACGGGTGGGCCAAGAGATGAAAAATCAAATAAAATTGCGGGGCTCCAGCGCCTTACCGCCTAACACAATGGGCCTTTGGTCTCATATTTGTGAAATCCTGGAGCCACAACAAAAAATTGAGCTGATATCTTTAAAATCATGGGTTGAAGATGAGGAAAAAGATCCTATTAAAGTACCCCTGACTCCCACTGGGGTATCCTCTTTTGAGATTCTGGGCGATGATGTCAACTTACCCACCCAGGATCCTTTCCCTCCTCCACCACCGCCTATGCCCTTGGCGGGGAAAACCCCTAAGGCTCAAAGTGGTGGGGATGAATTTGGCAACGATGATGTTTATCTCGATGATGACCCCATTCTGACTATGCCCACATCGTTGAAATCGGTCCTGCCTGCAGTCACAACCTCTGGTCAAGGGATTAATTCCGTGACTAAGTGCACTCAAACTAGCACGCTGCAGGCTTTTCCCACTATGACCAATCAGCAGAGCGCTGCCAAGTCCTCTGTATCCAACATTAGCCCTTTACAGAGAACTTTACTAACAGCGCAGCAAGCGGGAGAGGACGTGGGAGAGTTTAATGCCTACCCAGTAACCTTACAGGGAGGCCAACGGACATATACTGCCCTAAATTTTAAAATGTTAAAAGACTTAAAGGCTGCCTGTAGTCAGTACGGGGCCACTGCTCCCTTTACCCTATCCATGATGGAGAACCTTACCAGAGAAGCTCTTTGCCCGGGAGATTGGAAGGTTGTTGCCCGGGCTTGCCTTAATGGGGGAGATTATTTGTTGTGGAAGGCCGAATTCGAAGAAAAGTGTAACAATCTGGCTATCTATAACAGAAGGACCCAAATCCCTGTCACATATGAGATGTTGGCTGGTACTGGAGCTTATTATGAAGTGGGTAACCAAATACATTTCCCTGAGATTGCCTATGTTCAAATCAATGAGGCTGTTTTGACTGCATGAAAAAAGTTACCGATCACTAGCACAAGGACAGAGGAATTATCTAAAATAAGACAGGGGCCCGATGAACGCTATCAAGACTTTGTTTCACGGCTATTACAAGCCGTAAGTAGAATTGTTGTAGATGGGGAGGCAGGAACTATTATAGTGAAACAGCTAGCCTTTGAGAATGCCAATTCAGCATGTCAGGCGGCCATAAGGCCTTGGAAATCCACGGGCACCCTTGAGGATTTTTTGCGGCTGTGTGCAGACATTGGTCCCAGTTATGTACAAGGGGTGACTTTAGCAGCGGCCCTTCGAGGAATTCCTCCGCAGCAGCTACATTCACAACTTCTTAAAAAACAAAAGGGAAAGTCCCCAATAAATTCTAAAGCTCGCATGCCCTGCTTTCTATGCGGGGAACTTGGACACTTTCATAATGAATGCCCTAAGGGCTCAAGACAAGCCCCATCTTTCAACTTTCCCTCGGGGAACCCCCCTAATAAGCCACAGCCACCTTCTGTGTGTCCCAGGTGTATGCGGGGACGGCACTGGGCCAATGAGTGTCGATCAAAAACTGACCGCTTTGGCCGCCCCCTGCAGCAGGGAAACTCCCAACGGGGCTTCCCGCAGCCCCACCAAACAATAGCGGCAATGCTCTCCCCCCCATCTCTGAGGTCAGAGCCAACACGGCAGACCTCCCTGGGATTGAATCCCTTCACCGAGGCACCCCAGCCAGTGCAGGATTAGATCTGGCCCCAAACAGCTCTGTTTATTTAGAAGCTGGCATGCCCCCTCAACCAATAAGTACAGGAATATGGGGACCTCTCCCCCCAAACACATGGGGCTTATTATTAAGTAGATCTAGTTAGACCCTGAAGGGCTTAATAGTATATCCAGGAGTCATTGATGAAGATTACACTGGGGAAAATAAAATATTCACCTCACTTACACCTTTCATTAGTACTCTTTGTTTTAAATTTTTTGAATGTTGACTCGGTTGGCCGCACTGCCGCCGAACGTTTTTGGCAGCCTGAGCAGGCTCCCCTCCTCTATGCGAAGTGGCGTGACCCCGCCACCGCGGAGTGGAGGGGACCCGACCCGGTCCTACGCCAGGGCCGAGGATGCGCTTGTATCTTTCCCCAGGATGAGGAGACGCCACGCTGGCTCCCGCTTCGATGCGTCCGCATTGTCCGTAATGGTTTGCAGAATGAGGCGGCTCCAGATCCGCTCCGGGAGGACGAGGAGACGCCCCGCCTCGGATCAGAGGAAAATAACATGGGGAGACATCAAAGCCCTGACCGCTCGAGCTGAGGCCACCGTGCGTGAGTCGGGCCAGCCAGTCACGGCTGTTGCCCTTTTCCTTGCCATGCTATCACTTTTAACCCTTGACTCTGCCCAGGCCTCTCCTTACTGGGCTTTTGTCCCGGACCCTCCTACCGCGAGGGCGGTCACCTGGAAGGATCCCTCACCCACGGTGTTTACTAACTTCACAGACATTTTTGATGGGCCTGAGATTTCCGGCCTCACTCATGCCGTGGCGCCTTTTAACTGGACCAGCCTGGCTTCTGCCCCCCCATTTGTTTCCAGGCCATCGATGGCCCTGAGGCGCCCCATTATGGATGCGTGGTCACTTCACCAGTCTCCCGAAGAATCCGCTCTTGGTATGGAACTGAGCCACCCAGAGGAGACACTTTGACACCTCATGTAATGGTGGAAAATTGGGACATCAACGAGGTTGTCCTTCAACATCAACGGCCCCTGCCTGTTGGCCGTTTCGGACCCGCTTCCAGATCCCTTGAGACCCCATACCTTGACTATCCCCTCTGCAAATCTGACTTAACGTGGAAAACCTACGGACCCTCTTGAAAAACCTGCGTTCATCACAACCCAGAGATTGTGACTCCCCATGGCATACCTGATACTTATATAATTGACTGATCAAAAGACTGGGATCTCCCTTTGCGCCACTCCCCCCCGCTTTCAGAATATGGGCCATACGACCACAATAATTCTGCTCCCGGGGGACTGCTATCACTGGGGAGGATGAGACACCCGGACTTATGGAAAATTGTTGCGGCCATGAGAGATGTTAAAGCTAATTCATCTCTTTTCCCTGGTTTCCCCACGGGCCCATTGACCTTTCAAATTCGGGCATGTCTTTCCCCACCGTTTCTGTTTGTGGTGGGGGACGGGTCCATGGTGCCCGAGGTTAAGGCCAATAGAACCCTTTACAAAATAACTTGTGAGGAATGTTATCTCACCAACTGTTTGCCTTTACCCGGTGCCCCAAATCCAACAAAGATGGTTTTTCTAGCCATGCAGCCCCCTTATCTAATGATGCCTGTAGAGGTGGGGGGGCCCTGGTATAGAGATTATGGCTACCAATTTGCACAAGAACTGGAAGGCCTACTTAGTCGGAGACGACGCTTCCTGGGCCTCCTGATAGCCGGCATCACTGCCTTGGTGTCCCTGATAGCCTCGGCTACTGTTTCCACGGTGGCGCTGTCCCAGGGCATACATACGGCCTCCCATGTAAATAGCTTAGCCCATAATGTCTCCCAGACCCTCGCTACACAAGGAAGTATAGATAGAAAAATTTTGGCTCGCCTAGATGGTCTAGAACAGGCCGTCGAGTACCTGGGCACCCAATATTCACTGTTACACACTCGTCTGTCCTTTGTATGCCACGGCGGGTATGGTTCCATTTGTGTAACCCCCTTAAAGGCTGACAATGTCTCCTGGGAAACGGTGCAGAGGCACTTGCAAGGTATCTGGCATGAGACAAATGTAAGCCTAGATCTGCTTCAATTGCAAGAACAAATAAACAATATAGCCTCCTCCCATCTACATGTAGTCACCCCCGGAGACATGGCACAATCCTTTCTACAAAAGCTACAGGGGTTTAACCCCTTTAATATCCTCCAACATTCCTTTTGAATTATGTGTGCTCTGGTTGTAGGGGTAACCTTATTACTCTGCTTATGGTGTGCTTGGAGTCGCTGTCTGTTTGCTTTCATGGCTAGTACCCAAGCAAATGTACACATGTTGCGTTTAAAGATAAAAGGGGGAAATGTCGGGAGCCATGAGCAACAAGGGGGTTAATCAGGTAGAGCAAAGGCTCCCTGATCCCTTTGAACCATGGCCACCTGACTGCCCCCATACAAAAACATGTTGTACTGGCTAGCCTGAGTTGTTTATAGGCCAAGAAAACCACAGTGTTATTGATAGACCCTGAAAAATAGTGCACCTGGCCCTTTAAAGGCATACCGCGTAAACAAAACAGTGAAGAAACTATGCGCTTGAGGAATCTGGCCTTGAACCAGAAACTCTGGACGGAGCCAGGAGAAGGGCAGGGAGGAACCTGTGGAACTTGTTTATGTCCTATTGTTATATAACCTAAGCCTATATAAAGTGTGTGAGAAAGAATAAAGTTGTTGCTCGCGGCACCCCCGTGGGCAACCCTCCTGTTCCCATACTTTTATGTTTCATTCTCTTGCCCTCATCCCTGTTCGACCTTGTACGCGGGCCGTGGCACAGGGGGATGGATGTTTGGGGTGGTGCCTGGGGGTCTCAGGCTGCTGGAGGCTGGCTCGCCCTGGACCGGGCGTCACAGGTCAGCCGTGACGCGGCCGCCCTCTGAGGGCCAAGGCCGACGCAGGGGCCACCCAGGTTCCGGGGTACAAGGCACCCCCTTCCGTGGAGGAATGTCGACGTCTCCTCATGAGATGGGTTGGGGACGGTCCCCTGGAAGGCTCAGTCCACGCCTGCCTGGCGGCTCCTCGGCACCGGCCTTCCTGGCCTCCAGCTCGGCCTCCCCGGGGCCCCGTGCTGTGAAGCACACCGCCAGCCGCTGGCCGCACAGACAGAGCTCCTCCCATGGCGATCTGGCTGCACCCCACCGGTCCGGGCGCATACTGCATTCCCGCCCCTCCCGCTAGGCCCCCACATCGTCAGGGTCTCCCCCACACCCGGCGGCTCAACACCAAACCCGGGCTCCTGAGGAGGACGGACCATCCAGAGACCCCGACGGGGGCCGGGGAGGCGCCAACACCGTCCGCACACTAAGGGGCTGCACTAAATCCTTGCAGGCTGGAGCCGGTGTGGGGGGCACACATCCATCGGGGACCCCCGTTTTCTAAGGCGCATACTGAGATGACTCTAGACAGTGTCGACCCGAGGTCTGGGCTTTGCTGGGACACACTTGCTGCTGGGGTGGCATGTGGTGAGCACAGGAGCCGGGCTGGACCGGGGACGGCATCTGGGGGTTCATCATACCACTGATCTGTACAAACAGTGTCAATTATCTACCATCAAATGCAGATACGTGCAGAAAAACACCAAGAGCGGCTGTCCCTTCGAGCCGGGCGACCCTCATCGGTCCGTGTGTGTCGTTGTCCAGCCGAGTCTGTGCTGCCGGGCCCCCAGCCCCGCAGCGCCCCCACCCACGGCCCCCGCCCTCTGTCGCCGGCTCCTCACGAGCAGCGCCACGCCAACCTTGGGGGTTCCGCTCACCCAGGGACGCCGCGAGGCCCCGTCCCGGCGCCTTCCCCGTCGCCGCAGACCCGGGGAGGGGGCCGCTGGGTCATCCCGAGCAGGTTTCCCTACGGCCGGGTTGTGTTTGCTGCCAACGTGCCCCCTCTCCTCAGAGAGCCCGCACTGCCCACCCAGAAGCTCCCTGGGCCACCCCTGACCCCCGGACTGACCCCTGGGGCCCTGGGCCCTGTTTGTCCCGCAGCCTCACCTGACCCCATAGCGGTCCCGGAACGTGACGTGGTTCTGGAAGGTCCGGTTCACGTCCAGGTCAATTTGCCTGATGTCTCTGGAGAAGAGCTGGGCCTGCTCCGTCATCTTCTGTGGGCAGAACCGGGAAGGAGGGGCCAGCTTCAGGACACGGGACCCTAACTGTCCCCAGCTGCCCTCCGAAGAGGGAGCGCCGCTAGCCACCCCATGAGTGTGTCCGGCAGAAACCGCCTTCCTCCCTTGTCTCTGAGGCCGGGGCCCCGCACACGGGCCCACCGATGCCCGTGATGCCCGCGTCAGGCCTGGAGCTCAGCAGCCCTGGGCGTGGAGGGGACTCTCGATGGTCGGCCCGACGCTCCTCCCCTCCCCCCGCACAGGGGCCTGTCCTCCAGGACTGAGACCAGCCTGGGGCCTGAGCTCGCCTCTCCCCACGGGTTCCCCCAAGCTCCCGCCAAGGCCTCATCCAAGGGCCATGGCCTGCTGGGGGTGGAAGGGCTTACCTCGTAGACCCCTCGCTTGGTGGACTTCACCTTTTCAGTATCGAGCAGGAGGGCCCACAGCTGACCGCGCACCTGTGGAGGGACCCCCTATAAGCCGACGCTGCATCTCCAGGACAGAAGGCGGCACTGCTGAGCCAGGCCAGGGACGGCTCCGCGGGTCCCCGGAGCACGAGGCCTCTAGAAGGTTCTGGCCTTGGCTCCATGGCGTCTCCAGAGCGGCTGGGTCTCCCACAAGGAGGAGGGGGCGGTGACCCTGACCTGCCGGCCCCTCTGGTGTCCTCCTTGGGCCTGGGGAGACTTGGGCTCGGTCAGCAGACTCTCCCCAGGCAGGGGGACTCTCGTGGGGTTGGGGGAAGGCTGAGGGCCATACCCCCCCTCCGTCGGGACACAGGGCTGTCTGCGGGCACACAGCGCCCCACCTCCTTGCTGACCCGGTAGTGCTCCCAGCTCCGCAGCATCTTCTCCCACTTGTCGGCTCTCCGGGTCTCCTGGAGAAGTTGCTGGAACAAGACAAGGGGGCAGCTGATGAGCCGCCCGCTGTGTAGACTGGCACCCAGGCAGCATCCAGGGGCCTTCATGTGAACAGACTCAGAGAGCCCGAGGGGCATGGGCCGCTCCCGCTGACTGCGGCTCTGGGGATCAGGCGCGGCCCCAGCCACGCGTCAGGTGCTGGGACGGGGGATTTGGTGAAACAGCCCTTGGGACCGCTTTGGGGACCAGGTCTGCTGTCCTCTGGCCCCATGCCCACCCAGCATGTCCTGCCCGAGCCCCAGGACAGGCTCGTACCTTTGCCTTGTGGGGGCTGGGGCTGGGCATCTCCTTCTCCCTGGAAGGCAAGAGAAGCAGAGCCTGAGGACCGGGCCTCCGGCCCCATAGCCCAAGGCTCAGCCCAGGAGCCCCGGGGCGGGGGGGAGCTGACCCCAGGAAGGACAGGGGCTGCCAGGTGCCTGGGCTCAGCGGGGCAGCGTCCTGCCTGGGGGTGTGAGAAGGGTTGTTGCCGGCAGGTGGGCCGGGCGGGGGCATCCCAGCAGCCCCCATGAGGTGCCCTGCCCCGTTCTGGGATGGGCCAGCCTGAGACCTGTACAGTGCAGCCGGTGCCCCCTGGGCCCGTCCGCCTGAGGACCCCACACCTTCACAGGGCCTGACTGCTCAGCGTCCAGCCTGCCTCTCCCTCACCCTGGCCATCACCCCTGCTGTCCCCTGCCGCCACCCCTCTTGTCGGTCACTTCAGTCCTTCTCGCCCATTTCTGCCTCCTTCCCTGGTCCCAAGGCCACTGTGCTGTCCCCCTCCCTCATTCCCACCGCAGGGCAGCTTCCTCCTCCTCTTCCCTCCTCCTGCCCAGGCTGGTCGGCCCCTCCCTCTGCTGCGCACCCTCCCTCCCTGACCTGGCTTTGTCCCTGGCATCTTCCTGCCATCCTGTGGAAGACTCCAGGAGCTGTGGCGGCCCTGGCCGGGCGGTATCACCCAGGAGCACCCCTCCGCCCTCGCCCCAGACCAGACCGCCCTCCTACAGAAAAGACGCCACCGTCCCAGAGCCCCTCACCCTCTGGAGCCCCTGCTGAACTGACTGGACCCACCGTCTGAATGCAGGAGGCAGACACGGGGCCTCCCCGAAGTAGGCATGGCGGCCACTCCTCCAAGGCCCAGCTCCATTCCTGTCCACTTCTTGGGTTTGCCTCCTGGGTCTCTCTACTCCAGCCCAGGCCAGACTCTGGCCCTCAGAGGGCTCCAGGGGTCAAAGCCCTGAGCTGGGGAGCTGGGTCCTGCCTCCAGAGAGGCATTCCTGCAAATGCAATCCCCCCCCTGAGATGGAGGAAGGAGGGCCCAGGTGACTCACTGCCGAAAGCCATGATGGTCCGTGAGCCTGCACCGCGAGAGCTCAGCATCTTCCCATGGGTCCCGTGGAGACCCTGCTGGGCGTGCCTGAAACAGAGGGGGCCGTGGTGGGGGTCCTGTCAGAGCCAGGGGCATGGGGGTAAGGAGGGAACAGACGGCTCCTCCCTCCCCTGCAGCCTCAGGGAGCCCAGGACCCACTGAAAATGGCCCAGCAGGAGAGGCAGGACCTGTCTGTCCCACGGGAGCAGCCTGACAGCCCCACCTGCTTCTCCCAGCGATGATCCCCGCCCGGCTTGCCCCGCTCCTACGGGCAACAATACCCACCTGGGTCTCCTCTGCTGGACTCTGGCTCTGATCCCCGCCTGGGGGTTCTGCTGCTGAGGATTCCCTTTGGGTCAGAGCCGCTCCGGCCTGCCTATGAGCCCTGCCTGGGCCTCCCATGCACCTGCTGCCTATGAGCCCCGCCTGGGCCTCCCATGCACCTGCTGCCTATGAGCCCCGCCTGGGCCTCATCGGCTACTGACGACCTGGATCCCTGACGGACCCTCGCCTGCTATTGATGCCTCTCTGCCCCGGGTCTCACTTGTTCCTGACGACTCTGGGCCTTGTCTGGGCTGAACGGGCCCATCCTTGGCTCTGGGCCCACCTGGGCCTCCCCTGTGCCTGCAGGCTCTGGGCCCCACCCCTGCAGTGGGTGCTCCTAGTGTCGATGGTCCCTCTCTGGGCCTCACCTGAGTGTAATTGGCTATGATGTTGGCCTGTTCCAAGGCCAGCAGGGTCTGTAGGTCCTCTTTCATGGTGCTGCAAACCAAAAACATCCAAATAGGACCCTACATGAAAACCTCCAGAGAACAAAGGGGTCTGCTCTCTGGGGGCCGATCCCCACTCTGTCTGAGCCGAGAGTGGAGGAAACCCTCTAGCTCTAGGGGGGCACACTTGCTGAGCTGGCGGATCACATGCGGGCTCCCACTCTGTGGCACTCCCACCTCCAGACTCCCTTCCCAGTCACTGTCCTTGGACATGCTTCACACCGAGATGACAGGGTCTCTGCACCCCGTTACCAGGAGCACACGGGGGGTCCAGGAGGCTCCGGTAAACTGCTGACCTGATGCTTGGTGTGGGGTCCCCCAGCCCGGGGCTGGCAGCGCGAGGCTGGCTGGAACGGCCGGCCAGCGAGTGTTCCTGTGGATTTGGGGGGATCAGAGGTGTCTCTGAGATCCTACAAGTGCAGGCGATAATGGGCAAAAAGCAATGAGCTGGACGTCATCCACATGAACGACTTTGCAGCAAGGGTAAGAACAAACTCCCTCCCTGGATGCCAGGATGGTGAATGGCCGAGGAGGGGTGTGAGGGAGAGCAGGAGGGGCTTCGTGGTCCCTGTTGGGGAGGGGCATGCTGGCTCCTGGCCCAGGAGGCCAGGACCCGGGCAGCAGGGGGGGCAGCCCTCCTCGCACAGAGCTGTGGAAGGGCTGCACGTGCCGGCTCACAGTCAGCGCCCGGGGGTCCTTGGCCACCGCCCGGGAGGCCACGCCGCCCCCCCCCAGAGCCCGAGCCCCCATAGCGGCCTGAAGGGAGCGGGGAGCAGCACACACTCACCTGTGACCTGTCGCTGTGGGAGCCGCACCTCCTGTCTACACGGGGGTCGTGGGGCGAGCGGGTCCATGTGAGGCCAAGCCAGAGCCAGAGAGTGTGAGTGCATCCAACTGCCTGTGGACACAGAGCCGAGGGGGCGCCAGGCAGCGGCGGAACCCCAGGGCGCCACCGTTCCGTCCAGTGGGGTCCCGTGTCATCAGTGCACGTCAGCGGGGTCCGTCAGCACTAGCCCTTCCCCCTGAAGGTCACGCTCCCGGGGAGGGTCCTGGCACCACGCACGGTGGGAAGGGGAGCCTTGGCTCCATCCCACCTTCCTTAGCTCCCATGCTCAGGTCCTCCAGGCACCCCGCCCTTCTAGGCAGACTGTGTGTCACACATGCCCTCCCACCCCCAAGGGTTCACAGCATGCGTGGTCCACGTCAGAACATTTGAGGGGCTCCTGGGTGGCTGAGTCAGTTGCGTGTCTGACTCTTGATTTTCGCTCAGGTCATGATCTTAAGGGTGGAGAGATCGACCCTGTGTTGGGCCCTGGGCTCAGCTGGGAGTCTGCTTGAGAGTCTCTCTCTCTCTGCCCCTTCCTCCGCTCGAGCTCTTTCTCTGTCAAATAACTAAAGAAATTTCTTTAAAAATTAACATTGAAGAGCATTTGAGAAATCTTTATCATCTCTGCAGAGGTGCCTTCATATTTGGAACGGCTGTCTAATTGACTTTATGGATTCACTGTGATTTCTATTAGACACCCCTCTTCTTTAATTTTTACTGAAGTCTTGTCAACACACAATGTTACATTGGTTTCAGGAGTACAACTTAGTGACTGGACAAGTCTGTGCGTTACTCAGCGCTCTCCAGGAGAAGTGTACTCACCATCTATCCCTGTACAGAGTTATTACAACATTATTGACTCTATTCCCTTGCTTACTTTCTAAATTTCTGTGACTTATTTATTTTAGAACTGGAGGTTTAGAGCTCTTAATATTCTTCATCTCTATTGCCCACCCCCATCGCTGCCCCCTGCTAGCAAATCAACCAAGGACGTACATCACGTTGATGAGAGAAAGGTCAAAAACCATAAGATCATCTCAATAGAAGCACAAAAAGCACTTGACAAAGCACAACATCCTTTCTTGATGAAAACTCTTCACAGTGTGGGAATAGAGAGTCCATCCCTCAATATCATAAAAGCCATCTGTGAACAGCCCACAGCGAATACCATTCTCAATGGGGGAAAACTGAGAGCTTTTCCCCGAAGGTCAGGAACGCGGCAGGGATGTCCACTCTCACCACTGCAGTTCAACATAGCACTGGAGGTCCTAGCCTCAGCGATCAGACAACAAAAAGAAATCAAAGGCATCCGAATCGGCAAAGAAGTCAAACTCTCACTCTTTGCAGATGATGTGATCCTCTATGTGGACCCTGAATAGCTTTGCTTTTCTTTTTCAACATTCCTCTGGCTATTCAGGGTCTTTTCTGGTTCCATACAAATTTTAGGATTGTTTGTTCCAGCTCTGCAAAATATGTTGACGGTATTTTGATGGGGATGGCATTGAATGTGCAGATTCCTCTGGGTGGCATAGGCATTTTCACAATATTTGTTCTTCCACTCCACGATCATGGAATGTTTTTCCATTTCTTTGTGTCTTCCTCAATTTCTCTCATAATTGTTCTAGAGTTTTCAGAGTACAGATCTTTTACCTCTTCGGTTAGGTTTTATTCCTAGGTATCTTAGGGTTTTTGGTGCAATTGTAAATGGGATTGACTCCTTAATTTCTCTTATTCTGTCTCCTTGTTAGAGTAGAGAAAGCAACTGATTTCTGTAAATCGATTGTATATCCTGCCACTTTGTTATATTCCTGGATGAGTTCTAGCAATTTTGGAGGGGAGTCTTATAGGTTTTCCATATAAAGTATGATGTCATCTGTGACGAGTGAAAAGTTGACTTCTTCTTTGCTGATTTGGATGCCTTTAATTTCTTTTTGTTGTCTGATCGCTGAGACTAGGACCTCCAGTACTATGTTGAACAACAGTGGTGAGAGTGGACATCCCTGTTGTGCTCCTCATATTAGGCGAAAAGCTCTGAGGTTTTCGCTGTTGAGAATGATGTTTGCTATAGGCTTTTTGTAGATGACTTTTAGGATATTGAGGTATGTACCCTATATTCCTACTCTGCAGAGAGTTTTCATCAAGAAAGGATACTGTACTTTGTTCAATGCTTTTTCTGCATCTCTTGGGAGGATCCTATGGATCTTGTCCTTTCTTTCATTAATGTGATGTATCTCATTGATTGATTTGTGGATCTTGAACCAACTTTGCAGCCCGGGAATAAATCCCACTTGGTCATGGTGAATAATCCTTTTAATGGGTTCTTGGATCCAATGGCTAGTATCTTGGTGATAATTTTTGCATCCATGTTCATCAGGGATATTGGTGTGTAATTCTTTTTGGTAGGGTCTTTGTCTGGTTTTAGGATCAAGGTAATGCTGGCCTCCTAGAATGATTTTGGGAGCTTTCCTTCCATTTCTATTTTTTGGAACATCTTCAGAAGAATAGGTATTCATTCTTCTTTAAATGTTTGGTAGAATTCCCGTGGGAGGCCATCTGGTCCTCGACTCTCGTTTGTTGAGACATTTTTAATTATTGCTTCAATTTCTTTGCTGGTTATGGATCTGTTCGGGATTTCTATTCTTCCTGTTTCAGTTTTGGTAGTTTCTATGCATCCATTTCTTCCAGATTGCCTAATTTATTGGCATATATTTGCTCATAATATGTTCTTAGAGTTGTTTGTATTTCTTCGGTAGAGGTTATGCTCTCTCCTCTTTCATTTATGATTTTATTGACTTGGGTCCTTTCTCTCTTCTTTTTGATATGTCTAGCTAGGGGCTGATCGATTTGTTAATTCTTTCAGAGAACTAGCTCCTAGTTTTGTTGACCTGTTGTACTGTTCTTTTGGTTTCTAGTTCATTGATTTCTGCTCTAATCTTTTTCCTATCTCTTCCCCGACTGGATTTAGGCTTTGTTTGCTGTTCTTTCTCCAGCTCAGTTAGGTGGAAGGTTAGGTTGTGTATTTGAGACTTTTCTTATTTCTTCAGAAAGGCTTGTATTGCTATATACTTCCCTCTTAGGACTGCCTTTGCTGCATCCCAGGGGTTTTGAAGAGTTCTGTTTTCACTTGTATCCATTAATTTTTTTCATATTTCTTTCATTTCCTTGTGGACCCATTCATTCTTTTTCAGGATGCTCTTTAACTTCCATCTATTTGTGTTCCTTCCAAATTTTGTCTTGTGATTGAGTTCAAATTTCAAAGCATTGTGGCCTGAAAAGATGCAGGGAATAATCCCAAACTTTTGGTAATGGTCGAGACCTGATTTGTGATCCAGCGTGTGATCTATGCTGGAGAATGTTCCATGTGCACTGGAGAAGAATGTGTATTCTGTTGCTTTAGGGTGGAATGCTCTGGCTATATCTGTGAAGTCCATCTGGTTCAGTGTTTTGTTCAAAGCCCTTGTTTCCTTGTTGATCTTCTGCTTAGATGATCTCTCCATTGCTCTGAATGGGGTGTTAAATCTCCTAGTATTATTGTATTATTATCAAATTCTTTCTTTAATTTTGTTATTAATTGGTTTACATAATGGCTGTTTCCAAGTTGGGGGCATATATATTTACAATTGTTAGATTTTCTTGTTTGATAGACCCTTTAACTATGATATAGTATCCTTCATCATCTTTTATTAAAGTGTTTGGTTTAAAATCTAATTTTTCTGATATTAGTATTGCTACTCCAGCTTTCTTTTGATGTCCATTCACATGATAAATTGTTCTCCACCCCCTCACTTTCAATCTGCTCGTGTCTTTGGGTTAAAATGAGTCTCTTGTAGACAGCATATCAATGGGTGCTGCTTTTTTATCCAGTCTAATACCTATATCTTTTGATTATAGCATTTAGCCTATTTACATTCAGAGTAACCATTGAAAAATATGATTTTAGTGCCATTGTATTACCTGTAAAGTCACTGTTTCTCTATGTTGTCTCTGTTCTTTTCTGATCTTTATATTTTTAGGCTCTCTCGTCACTAAAGATTCCCTTTATTGTTTCTTGCAGGGTTGGTTTTGTGATCATAAATTCTTTTAGTTTCTGTTTGTGCTGGAAGCTCTTTATCCTTCCTTCTATTTTAAATGACAGCCTTCCGGGATAAAGTATTCTTGGCTGCATATTTTTCTCATTTTGTACCCTGAATATATCATGCCAGTCCTTTCTGTCCTGCCAGGTCTCTGTGGACAGGTCTGCTGCCAGCCTTATGTTTCTACTCTTTTAGGTTAAGGAACTCTTGCCTCAAGTTGCTTTCAGGGTTTTCTCTTTGTCTCTGAAATTTGCAAGCTTCACTATCATATGTCGAGGTGTTCACCTATTTTTATTGATCTTGAGGGGGATTCTCTATGTCTCCTGGACTTGAATGCCTGTTTCATTCCCCAGATCAGGGAAGTTCTCAGCTATAATTTGCTTAAATATACCTTCTGCTCCCCTCACTCTCTCTTTCCTCTTCCTCTGGGATCCCAATTACTCTAATATTGTCTTGCTTTATGGTATCACTTATCTCTCGAATTCTCCCCTCCTGATCCAGTAGTTG